ATTCTTAAAAAATATTAATAACCCCGACACTTCTTAATTTATGCCGATATGCTAATAATTATGACAGCTTTGGGGGAAAATTGCATGTCTGATTATTGAATTTGGATACTTCGTAGTTAAGCTTACTGAAAAGTTTATAGAGCAAGTTATCCTACTGAGTAAGTTTTGCTGTTAGTTAGTTTACTATCTTGTTGAGTAGGTTTTTTGTTAGCTTAGCTTCTACTTGTAACTTATATATAAACAAGTTACTGTAACAATATTCAATAAGATACATAATTCTTCAAACATTCTTTCTGAGCAAGTTTCTTTATATGGTATCAGAGCTCTTCTCACCGGTGTCAGAGATCTTTTCTGGTGACCGCCATGGGAGATACTTCTGCAGCTGCGCCAACAAACTCTTCTTCTTCTTCTTTCTCTCGATCTACTCCAATTACTTTTTCACATCCAATTTCCTCAAAACTGGCTAATAACAATTTTCTTGTTTGGCGGCGACAAGTTCTTGCTACTGTTTGAGGTCATCATCTCCAAGAGTTTCTTTCAAGTTCTGCGAGATTTCCTCCGAGGTTTCTTTTTCCAGAGGATGAACTTCTTCGCGTAGACAATCCAGAATTTCTTGAGTGGGAGCAGCAAGATCAGCTGCTTGTGTCTTGGATGCTGGCTTCCATGACGGACTCAGCTCTTGCTCATATGGTTAACTGTGAAACTGCAGTTCGGTCCGACACACAATTGAGGTATATTTTGCTTCGCAAATTCGAGCTAAGAAATCTCAGTTCAAGACTCAATTGCAAAATGTACGGAAATATTCTTTAACTGTTAATGAATATCTGCTTCGGATTAGATATTTTGTTGATATGCTTGCTTTAGTTGGACATGTAATTTCTACTAAGGATTACATTGATGCAATCTTTAATGGTTTACCTCATGAGTAAGACATTTTAGAGATTAGTGTGAACTCTAGATTTGGTGAATACTCTGTTGAGGTGGTTGAATATCTAATTTTGGCTCAAGAAGTTCGAATTGAGAAGGTAGTCAAGCTGAGTGATGGCTCTAATTTTGGCATTGGTCCTACATCTTCTAATCTAGCTATGGCTGGTGGTAGACCTCATCCTCACTTGTGGTTTGGTGGTTCTAGTTTTAGTCATTTTTCTCATACTTCTTCACATTATGGAAGTTCATTCTCCCCCTTTCCTGGTCATTCTTTTGGAGGATTTTCTTCCAAACAGAGTTATTGTTTGGGAAGTTCTAACACCAGCGGCAGAGGGAGGTTTAATGGTTGTGGTCGAGGAAATTCTTGGAACAATAACAAAGTATAGTGTCAGTTATGTGGAAAACTAGGTCATATGGTGATGCAGTGCTATTATCAGTTTGAGATCTTTCACTGGTCCTTCTCAATTTCACCATCAACTTCAAGGCAATCTTGCTCAGTGTTAGGGTCCAACTTCTCCTAATGCAATAATTGACTCTGCTCAAATGGGAGCTATGCTTACTACTCCTGAGGCTATAACTGATTCAACCTGGTATACAGATGCATCTTCTGATATGGAGTGGTACCCTGACTCAGGTGCTACAAATCACTTGACTGCAGATCCTTCTAATCTCATGTCAAGTTCTGAATTCTATAGTTTTGATCAGGTGCATGGGCAATGGTAATGGTCTGTCTATTAAACGTATTGGATCTTCTGTTTTTCTTAGTCCTTTTATTTCTTCCAAGTCTCTAACTCTCAAACACTTACTGCATGTTCTTGAAATTCGTACAAAAGAGCAACAAGCTGTACAAGGTATTAATTAACTAGTAGCATCAGAGAAAAAAATAAATAAACAAAAGAATTAACTAATAGCATAATTAGATGAATTGCAATATAAGTTACAGATATGCATTAGTGTGAGAGTGAGGAATTGATAAAGGATGAGATTGTTAGTGGGTACAAACCTAATTAAGATGTTTTGATTGTCTTTCATACTACTTCTCTTAATATATTGAAAAAATAATATTTTAAAATTTATGTAGATATTCTTTTCTCTTAAAAAAATTTCAGTAATATCCACTTAATATTATAAGTTTTTTAGTACAAAGTGATATTTGCAGCCTCTCTCAAAACCCAACCCCACCCAAAACTAGACCAAACTGTCTTAAGGCTTGGTAGAATAAAGTTTTTAAGTGTATCTTCGATGTTTTCTTTTTTCCTGTTTTCATGATTTTTTTTCTTTTGTTAGCATGTTTTTAAGAAAAAAATTGTATACTTCCATTAACGTATTAGCATTTATCATGACAAATTCATTTGACTTTTGCTTTGGGAAGATTGTGGTGAAGCTTTTCCATTTGCCAAGCTACTGTACAAAAAGTTAGGCAAACATAACGACTTAACGTGATAAAGAAATGTGGACTTAGCATTTAAATAAAAAAGACCCGCTTAAAACTGGGTTTGGACTTGTATGTGAACGCGTTTTGAAAACTCAATACATTTAAAAGTCACGTGAGTGCACGCATTCATGATTTTTCGAGCAATAAAAAATTGTGAAGCCAAGCACTTTTGATATGGAAATAAGCGATCTTAATTGGCTGGTGCCTAGTGGATATGTATTCCGTTGTTCTCAACTTGTCACTGGCGGAGCCAAGTTTTTCTTAGTAGAAGCATCATAAAAAATCATTAAAAAAAGATAGTATTATTTCAGTTCTTATTATAGTATTATTTCAGTTCTTATTATTTCTGGACATAATAATATATTTTAATTATTGAATAGATTGGAGGATACAAATAGTTTTTCTCATAAAATGAAGATATTATTGAGTGGGGATCTATGCATGGCAGCAAAGTTGTCCTCCTCTATGTACTTACCAACAAAATAATTTGATTTGAAAAAGTAAAAGCTGTAATGATTAAATAAAAAAAAATAAACATATCAACCAATAATAATTAAATTAAATGTTAAATTTGTAATGCGTTAAATTTATCATGTGTTACAAAATAATTATTTTAACTTTTTTCTTAAAAAAAGGAAAAATAAATAAATAGATCATCATTAATGTTATCCTTCACATTATATGGGATTGCCAATAATATTAATGTTAATTGTATATTTGACATAAAAAAGTGTAATCTATAAGATATGTTATTTTCATTTGTACTCCATTATATAATACTATTTTAAATGCTAATAAATCTATTTTTTTTCATTAAGCTTTTAAAGTTATAGAAGTAAACTTTTAATTTTAAAATAATTTGATTTGAAAATGTAAAAGCTGTAATGATTAAATGAAAAGGTAAATATATTAATTAATGATAATCAAATGCTAAATTTATCATGTGCTATATTTGGTAATAAATTTGCTGCAAAATAATACATATGACAAATTAAGCACAATAAATAAACATTGCATTAATGAAGAGTGTTTTTTTTTTTATCATCAAATGCTAAATGGAGTTTTATTATATAAGTATTGCATTAATGGAGTTTCTTCATTAATTTTATCCAAACCTTTTAAAATTTTCAATCGAACTCTTACTTTGCCTCAACTGAAGATTTCTAATTTATATCCCAACTGAAACTTTATACTTCTTAACTTTTACATTTAAGTTTTATAAAATTTTCAATTAAATATCTTAAACTTTAACGAGCATTAAAAACTTAATTAGTTAAAGATAGTTCTATTTACACACTCCGTTCTTTCTTCACATTCCCTTCCAATTACAACTTTTTATTAAAAAAGACCCTAAAATAAAATGACAAAAAGAGATAATTATAATGGACTTAATCACATGACAAAAAAGAAATTAATGTTTTTTTCTCTCTCCACACACCCCATGAATTGTATCCCCAAATTTTCACTTTTTAATGACTATTCGCAAAAATTTCATAGAAGTATACCAATTTTTTTTTTTTTTTTTTTTTTTTTTTTTTTTTTTTTTTTTATAACAATTGTTCATTTACCATTTTTTCATTTCATGTTTTTTTCCTAATAATTTCACTTTCTTAATACTAATCATATTATTTTTCATTTTCTATAAAGTTTTGCTGATTGCATATTTTCCATTTCGTTCTTTGTTTTTTTCCTTGTGGTCATATTTTTTTTACCAAGTTTTGTTTTGTTTTTTTTTTTCAATTTGTCTTTTCTGATTGTACATAATAATATAATATAATTATATTGATGTTCTGTTTAACTTTTTATAAATTATTTTGAGTTGTTTTGATTTTTTTCTTATTAATATTGTTTATTTCTCTTTTTTCTTTTTTCTTTTCATTTCTTTTTTTATTATGAAATTTTATTTTTTTAAATAAAATTAAAATAAAATGGCGGGTGTAAATAGAAAAATGTAGTGGTCAAAAAATTAATAATCTTATTAAAATAGTTAAGGTAATTCTGGGCTAATAAGAGTGTGTAAAAAGTAAATTTAATCTTTTAAAATTATGTGAGGTGTGTAGTTAGAAAACGGGTGTAGAGAGTAAAAAAAAGGTGTGAATAGAACCACCCATTAGTTAAACTTACTAATCGGCTATTTTGAAGAAGAAAAAAAGAGATAAAAACTCGAAATAGAAAGAGAGAGTATATATAAAAAAAACTTGCTCCCAAAGCAAATCTCTGGTTTGGGTTTAGCATATAAAGACATTTAAAGACACTTATTCACTTGTAGTACATTTAAAGACACAACACGTACGTCCTTTGTTCACACACTTTTTTTGGCCCGTCAAAGTACACACGACAAGTATTATACATAATTTAAAAATATCATGTACGATAACAAAGGTTTTATATCCCTATAATTAATTACCGGTGTAACTAGACCAAATAATATTATTCACCCACAAAACATTAATCTAAACGATCGCCAAAGAAAAAACGAGGAGACAGCACCAAACCCTAGCAATGTACGGTGATCACATAATTATTATAATATTCTAATTACTCATTAGCCCAGGGACGACGTCGGTCGTCGTCAAAAGGAACCTGGCGGCCGCAACGTAGGTTGTCCCAGGATCAACCTTCAACAGATCACACATTCTTAGATAGAACCCAACAGCGTCTCTGTCTCGGCGCTCCGATCCATAACCACACGGCCCGCCGCCTCGATAATGTTTGTGACAGCACCATATTCGGGAATGCGTCCAGCAACTATATGTCGGTAAATTTCGGAGTCCAATCTCTGATCATGACATCGTGGGGCGATGGCATTCCGCGTCTTGGCGTCATCCAGGACCAGAATGCCGTCTTAAAGGAAATTTTTGAGTCTTTCTCCAATAGGTCTGGGCTTCCCAGAAGGTCTAGGTCAAGGGCTTCTCCGGCCACATTATAATTATAGTTACTGAATTTCAATGGCGAAAACATTCTTGAAGTATTGAATAAATTTAAATAATTAAAAAATAATTGTCATAACTTATTGTTTTTTTTAAACAAAATAATATGTGAATGCATGGGTGGCTTGGTGAGGGCGGGATATAGACGTCAACTTAATTATGACGTGTTAGCTATGTCAATATAGTGAGTTGTCCACTTTTTATATCTATAAATTAATAAAGAAAACAAATTAACCGTGCACATAATGATATGATCATATGAATTATGATCTTCATTTGAACGTATAAATGTCTTGTTTAGTGAGTGCTATTAATATCAATTATCTCCTATCTCCATTAATTATTCGAATTTCATAAAACAAATTTTTATATATATCTTTCATATCATTGACTACAATCATATATTGGTCAAATCATGATTAATTATTCAAGTTACGAGTCTTGACAAATTTATGAACATGTTCGAAATTAGTTTTATGAACATATGTGCAATATGCATGTGTTGTAAATATTGGTTACCCTGAGAGTTGAAAAGGGCCTCGGCCTTAGTACTTCCGACCGGGCACACAAGGACATTCCCTATCATGAGGATCACAATAATCGAATCGCCATGGGTGTGGATCGCAAGCAATGCATGTGTCCATAAATATATATGGATGTGCTGGTCCGCCTGTCCAGACCCCTACAGATACATATGGTTGGCATTTGATAATTACTATCAATACTGTTACACGTAATATATTATTATACGTCAAATATCATGAACTTAATAAAAATGAACAGAAACTCAAAAAAAGATCAAAATTAATGAAAAGTTAAACGAATTGTACGTACCAGTAGTTTCGTGAGAAGTTTGGGCCAGGAACGTGGCAATCTTCCCTAGCTGGTTTGCTTTGTCTCCGGTTGTGCCGAAAGCGGGAAAATCCTTTGAAGCCTCAACGAAAGAATCATAGGTGTAGAAGCCACGGGCGGGACAATTACGGTCATTACGATGCCTTAGAGCAAATTCGAAAAGCTCCTCGGACAAGAGTTTCCTGACACCACCCCCACCGCCGCCACCACCGGCTCCACCACTGCCACCGCTATCGCCATCGCATTGGCTTTGGCAACCATGTCTGCAGTAACAAACAAAGGTTATAACAGTTCACATGGATCAAAATCCTATACTGCTGATCGTGAAGAACTGGTATATAAATTTTCCATTAGTTATATATATTTTTATTTAAATTTTTTACTCTAATTCAAAATATTGCTACAGATGAATCTGGAAACTAATCAGTTTGTTGATGACATTGAATTTTACCGGGTTATGTATACCAATCACAAAACAAAACAAGCTGAACAAGATTACGTGAGTGGTCATTTTTAATTAATATACATGCACTTTTTGTAAATAAAAAAGTTTTATGTGCAACATATTTTATTTGATGTCATTATGTTAATAATGCAATTTCCTTATCTTTAGTTGCTTAGAAACAAATTTAACCCACATGCACTTAGAATATTACAAGTAATGGGTCACTCTTTCTGAATTGTTTATCCGCATTGCTACTGTCTATTAGATTTTTGTTTGTTTAATTGGTTGTCATTTAGCTTATTGTGAGTCTTCTTAGATTTTCTGTCGAGTCTTTTGGCTTGATTCCTTGTCTGAGTTGGTTACTTAAGAGTCGTTCTTGCTTACGTTGCCTTTGCCTTTTCACGTTATAACGTGATTAGTTGATGCTATTGTTTCATTACTGCTTCTCTATTTGATGCCTTTTTTATAAACTCAATTGGGCCGTGGCTCTTATTTAATCGTTCTATTCCCTTTTGCATACTTTGACCTGATTGTGAAAATTGTGATGATCACTTTTTTTATTATAAAGATGACGTCTAGTAGGCTGTCGAATGACTCTGATTTTGGACACGAACACACGTTTAGTTTCACTAGTCATTTTTATTAGAGAGATTGTAATATATCTCTCAATTTTGATAGCACAAAAAAATTGGCTTAAAACACATTTGGAAAGAGGGGGCGGGCACAAGCGCGCGCTGCAGCGCTATAGCGTGCTTGGGCGCTGCAGCCTGCGCAAAACAGACATCTCAGGTCTGTTTTGCTAAGCCCGTGCGCTACAGCGCACAGTAGCGTGCGCTGCAGCGCACACAAAACAGACCTCTCGGGTCTGTTTTGCGTAGCCCGAGCGCTGCAGCGTGAATGTCATCCGCTGCAGCGCAAATTGTTAACATAAAATGTGTTTTCGTGTGTCTTAGTGATCTGAAAAGGTCTTGAACCATTGCATCTATTTGTGATATGTTTTCTCACATATCTGAACACTTATTAACAATAGAAATAACTATTAATATAAGTGCATCAGCATATAAAAGATAACCTTCAAATTGAAAAGGTATCTTTATGTGAAAGGTTGTAACACTTAAAGAGGATGGATGCATCCCTGTCTTTATTTGATGGACTTCAGAAAATACAGATTATGATTGTTCTGGAACTCAATATTTTTTGCTGGATATTGTGTTCAAGGGTTTGTTGTATCTTGGGGGTAATTTGCCATTTAAAACTCATTAGCAAACTTTGAGAAGTGAGGGCAAATAAAACCTTAAAGGAAAGTATTCCTATACGCCTCAAACCCTCTTTCTGCTTTCTCTATTCTTTTCATCCTCCCAATTCTGAATTTCTCAAACAATCTTTAAGGTTTTAACTTGCTGCAATGGAGGTTGAAAAGAACATGACGTCTTTCCTTAATCCTAATGTTCAACTTGATCGTTTTGATGGTACCAACTTCACCCGTTGGAAGGGAAAGTTGTTCTTCCTTCTCACCGTGCTTAAGATCGCCTATGTGCTTGATCCAAAATTGGAGCCACTTTCTGAACCAAAGGAGGATGAGTCCGAAGAATTGAAGACCGCAAGGAAGAAGCATGGAGATGATGAAATCATGTGCCGGGGTCATATTCTCAACACTCTCTCCGATAGGCTCTACGATCTTTACAACTCGATGGAGTCTCCGGTGAAGATTTGGAACGCTCTCGAATACAAATACAAAACTGAGAAGGAAGGTACGGACAAATTTCTCATCTTTAAATTTCTAAAATTTGTCATGGTTGATACCAAATCCGTTCTAGATCAAATACATGAATTGCAAGTCATTGTTACTAAGCTTCGTGAATTGAAGGTTGAGATTTTTGAATCATTCCAAGTGGGGGCAATTATTGCTAAATTTTCTCAAAGTTGGAATGGTTATAGAAAGAAACTCCATCATAGGAGAGATGACATAACTTTGGAGGAATTACAAAAATACTTGAGAATCGAAGAAGGGACCAAGTCTCGTGATTCCAAGAACAAAAATGTAGATTCCTCTAAAGTTAATGTTGCAAAAGCTAGTAAGTTTTCAAAGAACTTCAAAGTCAATAATGACAAGAAGTTCAAAAAGCCCGGTAATGGCCAAAAGAAATTTTTTGGAAATTGTTTCTTTTGTGGAAAGAAAGGCCATCGCCAAAATGACTGCAGATACAAGACGAAAAAGGAAGAAGTGAACACCAACAATGCCAATGCCGTTGAAGAGAAATCTGAAGACATATGTGCTATGGTCTCAGAATTGTAAATTGGCATGATTACCGAAACTAACATGGCTGCATCTAGATCCTCCGATTGGTGGCTTGATTCCGGAGCCATAATCCACGTTTGTAATGACAAGACTATGTTCTTATCTTACAAAGTGAAAAAGGAAGGACAAACGGTTCTCATGGGGAATAATGATGCAGCGATAGTTGTCGGGAGAGGAGTGGTGGAGATTAACTTTACTTCCGGAAAGAAGCTTACATTGAACAATGTTCTTCATGTTCTTGATATAAGGAAAAATCTTGTATCCGCTAGTCTTATGTGTAAGAATGGGCTTAAGATTGTACTTGAGGGCAATAATTGTATTGTATCTAAGAATGGGATTTTTGTGAGAAAAGGGTATTCTTGTGATGGCATGTACAAACTGAGTGTTAATAATAAAGATGATGTGAATTCTCTTTATATTGTTGATTCTTTTGATGTTTGGCATGCACGTTTAGCACACTTAAATTTTATATATTTGAAATATATGTCTAAACATGGTTTGATTAATTGCAAAGATATTAAAAATGATAAGTGTGAAATTTGTATACAAGCAAAGATGACTAAGAAACCTTTTCCTAGAGCCGAATGTAATACTCAAATATTGGATATGATTCATACCGATATTTGTGAGTATAATGGAATTTTGACTAGAGGAGGAAAGAGATACTTTATCACTTTTATTGATGATTGTTCTAGATACACTTATGTGTATTTACTTAGAACAAAAGATGAAGCCTTTGATAAATTTAAAATTTACAAGGCTGAAATTGAGAACCAAAAAGACAAGAAGATCAAAATGGTTTGAAGTGATATAGGTGGTGAATATTTCTCAAATGAATTTGATGCTTTCTGTGAAGAGCATGGTATTATTCACCAAAAGTTCGCCCCTTTTACTCCTCAACAAAATGGATTGGCTAAAAGAAAGAATAGAATCTTTACCGATATGATTAACTCTATGCTTCTTAATGCTAAATTGCCTAATAATTTATGGGGGGAGCTTTACTTACAGCATGTCATGTTCATAATAGGATTACATCTATGAAAACACATGTCTCTCCATATGAAGTATGGAAAGGAAGAAAACTAAACTTGATGTATTTAAGGGTGTGGGGCTGTCTAGCCTTTTATAGAATGATTGACCCTGAATCATCAAAGTTAGGAGCTAGAGGTATTAGAAGTGTTTTCGTAGGTTATACTAAAAATTCCAAGGCTTATAGATTATTGAATCTAGATTCTAATGTTATTGAATCAAGAGACGTTGAATTTGTTGAGAATAAGTTTAGCCTTAATTCTTCCATTGAATTAGAATCTAATGTTAATCAACCATATGTTGACATTCCCGGTACCTCCACTAATAAAAGGAAAGAGTCTATGACATCTTTCGAACCGAGAAGAAGTCAACGTGAAAGAAAAGAAAAGAACTTAGCACCAGATTTTATTTCATCTCAAGCTTTAACCTTTTTGGTTGAAGGAGATAGAAATGGTGTACTTAATAAAATACCATTGTTGCTTAAT